TTCGTTAAAGAAAAATAATTTTATTTTCTTTACACGTATAAATAATTCAAAAATTTAACTCATAAGATATTTCGTAAGTAATTATAATAATAATAAATTAAAATAATAAATTAGACAAATGAATAGAGGAACATTAAATATGATCTTACGGCTGGATCTTGATGCCTAATATTTCAACATAAATTATTAAATATATTTTCTAAATTTCTTCAAATTTTTAAAAATATTTTAGATATTAAGATTATTATTATTATTATTCAATTTTTAATGATCAATTTAATTTGTAATATTAATATTCTAACTTCAATTTAGGATTGCGATTCAAGAACGGCATGCAATTTGAAGAACAGGAAAATATATAAGGTATCTAATAATTTATGTAGAAATATTATTATCGTATTAAAATCCAACCTCGATAATATAATTGGCGCTCCTTTATTTGTGTTATTCACATAAGCGGTCTAGTTTAATTTGTTAGTATAATAAATTAAAATGTATGTATAGAATCATTCCAAATAGCACATATACATGTATAGCTCCATGTCAACAGTTATTTCTCTTTGCTGCAATTTATGCGCGAAAAACGCACGAGGAGCAATAACTTTCGTTCGCGCGATCGTTAGCGTGTATTTTCTTGAGTGCAAGTGTTAAATTGATCATTGCCTCTAGCAGGCGATTAGGCGGTTAATTTTCATTTAAATGGAACGACAAGCGAGTGCTGTTAGGCATTCCACCTTTAGATCCATGCGGTCTCTTTCCCTCGCCCGCGGGCCAACTGCCGCAAAACCAAGATGCAAAACCCTTTGGAAGTTCTGGCGAAAGTTTAATTGTCTTTTGCTTGCATTCTATCTAGGATTCCGCATCGAAGGGACGACGTGCTCTCGCAGCACAATCTATAATCTGCCTGCGATAAGATCAAAATTCATTACCTCATAATACAATAAATAAGGATATAACAACTTTACATTTTTTTCTCTTATGTATAAATTTTATTAAAAGTTTTTTTTAGCTTGAAAGATTTTCAAGATGTTTAATATTAATAAAAATAAAGAGTTATTGTTATTACAAATATATGTTGAATAATGAATTATCTGTTAATATTTAGAGAATAATCAGGAATAATTTAGAAAATGATATAAACCATAAAAGAGAATGTTATATTAAATTATGTGCAAAGAGAAAAAAATAAAGATTTAAAAGTAAAAGTCATTAATCGTTTCTATTTAGTTGATAAATTCCTAAACACTAATCAATCGTAGATAAATTCGCAGTTTATTGAAATTCAACACTTCATTTATTTGATCATCGCAAACAATCGATCAGAATACATCTGCAATATCTGAGAAAGCCGGATTTACTTAGTCGACGTTAAACTTAATAAGATTGCTTTATGAAACAGAGTTTGTTCGTAATCGGGATCAACGTCGATTCGACGTAGGGCGTACACGAGTGATTTGCATATTTGTTATCGCCCCAGGCGCCGAAATCGATTAAACGGGCGGAACTAAAATTAATTATTGAAATAATTATCGGCTTCCAACCATGGCGCCATCATCGAAGCTAAATTAATGCCCAAAATACCATTAAATTTATGAAATATTAATCTCGTTGCACACAATTATTTCTCTGTATTGATTTTAGAAATAATTATAAGTACGATAAATGTAAAGAGCATTTTTTGTTCAAACGTACCATAAATACATATTACTCGCGACATTTCATGCATCTTAAGATTTTTAAGGAATGACGTTTTATATTTTGACTCGCACAGCCGCTGCAAAATATTTTCCTTGTACTGCACCGCGGACGTGTTTGGAAAATTTCAAAACTTTTCAAAATAAACGATGCCTCTTGACCTATCCCATGCGACCGGATTCTGAACGATATGAACGTCTTTGCCCCTCTAAGCTCTCTTTTCTTTTTCGTCTAGAAACAATAAACTTCTTATTTCGGTATGACATCGTTGTCGTCATCGTCTTATTAATCGGTCCGATCGATCGCAATTTCCGCGAAAGAAAGTACATTGTGACGCATATACGAAATGTTATAAATAGCGCCGACTAACGTTATCGGTATTTTGTGCAAATAATTCGTGTCTACGAATTGCGCGGCATTTGTTGTCTCGTGTGTTTTCTTCGCCAAAACTGTGCCATTGTTTGACAAGTTCCTTGCGTGTTTTGAGTTTTCCCGTAACTCCTACTTGTATCAATATTTTATCTTTGTAACTTTCTCTGTAAAAACACAAGTTTGTGTACAAGATATTTCGCGAACGAAGCTAACCTTACAATACTCCGTTTTAATATATTGCCCTAATATCTATCTTTCTGATATATGTATTATTGTTGCATATATATTTTTAACAAGGTATTTAACACAAATTAAAAATAAAGAAAGTCTTATTATATTTATCAAAAATTATTTGAAAAATAATAATCGCACTTATACAATTAAAAACAGAGAGAGAGAGAGAGAGAGAGAGAGAGAGAGAGAGAGAGAGAGAGAGAGAGAAAGAGATAACAGAAATATTACAATATATATTTATGGTAAACTAATTAAACTTTAAAATTTTAATTCTAAAATACAATCAAGAAATTCGCAAAATAATTTTGTAAATAATCTTTATCGCATAGTGGAAAATGTAATGAGATTTCTGAAATAGTTTTGTCCGATAGTTTCGACAAAATTTAATTTTGCCATGAAATATATAGTTTTTTCTTTTGAGCGCTCTTTGAACCCTTGCTAGCGCGACTCTACACGAAGATGCGCATCGTACGATCCGATTAACTCGAGGAGAACACTCGTATTCCGTTCGGATTCCGT